AGCAAATCAAATTTTAATTTTGAGACTAAAAAGTAAAATATTCTTGCCCCAAAAGAATAAGTAATCAAACTTACGTATACATCGACTCTTCGAGTAATATATAGCTGCAAGGCGCCATATCTTGAGTGCAGACGCTATATCGAGGAACTTCTTTCATCTAAATGAATACATTCGAACTGAAAAAATCGACAATTTTTATAAAAATTACTTGAATAGAATGAAATATGTGAGTAAATGTTTATTGTTGCCATACACATTTCTCTTTTGTTCAATGAAATTATTAGAATTGAGAATCGTCTCCGATGAGTGACGACGATAGTCTTTTGCCATAGATGATAGGTATTATAATATAATATATTATCATCAGTTTTCGAGTTTTTGACTTCTTTGGATTACACGATGCATTTTTTTTTCAAATTCCGAAACAGAATATTATTGGGAGTGTTTAAATCTATACAATGCAGAACACGGCACTCTGAGTATAGGCCATTTAGATTTTTAAATACACTACTGTCGCGAGTCAATTTTTACGTCCGGCATCTAACAATATTGTTTTTAGTCTTAACGGTTAAACTATAACTTAACATAAAACTCTAGAATTGTCGAGACTTGAAAAAAATTCAAAATTAGGCTTTGAAATGTACAGAAGTAATAAAAAAATGGATACTTTAATCGTGCCTATAATATTCTCTCTGGGCTCGGCATTAATATGTTATTAAACAATATTATTCTATAATAGTATGCAGTCACCGATGTACTTGCTAAAAAATTGTGTGGTTATATTATACTACTACACTATAGTGTAATAAATAATATAATATGTATACAGCCGTGTAGGTACCTAACTTAGGCTCTCACATAAAGGTAAGTTACAGGGGAAAAAAAATGTATTGCTTCCCTGGTACCTACCTATATTTATTGTTTTATATTTTAAAAACATACCCTACAAAGTAAGTACTACAAGTATAGTTTATACTTTGCAGAGGTCGCTATGGATATTTCTTAAAATAGGTAGTATTTAAAAAAAAAATCATGAACATTTTAGGTTTGTTAGTTAGGTACACATGAATTTACTAGACCAATTTGAATTAGTTAATGCCAAAAAAGTTGTTAAATTAAGTACCTAAATAATAAGTCACATGTCACATGTCACATAGTACCATGCTGATATAGTAACACATGATCCAAGTGATATGTATTTCCAACAACATTAAGATGTAACTATTAATGCTGAATACGGTTTAATGCTTTTAATTATATGTTCAACAACAATTATTAGTAATATTTTTTGTTTTAAAGGCAGTTTCCAAAACGTACATAAATTAATATCAGTTGTAAATTTTTTCAAATTTATAAGCCATATAACAGTAAAAAATTGCATTTACTTGTTAAAATCTGTATATATCTGTTTAAGGTAGTAGGTACATTAGTTACCTACACGATATAGACACATAAATAATAATAAATTATTAAAAAAATGTGATTTTATGTCTGTATTAAAATAAAATTATATAGTTGAAATTTAAAATATAATTATACAAATTTTTTAGCAAAGGTTTGTCATTCAATACAAGCAAAAAAAAAATATTTAACTGTAGATTAAAGTAACAAAATATAACTTCAGATATATGAACTGAAGAATTCATTGTTCAGTAGTCAAGATACAACGTGTTTACTTTGATGAACTGATTCAGTGAATCTTTTCATCATCGGAATCATAAGTCAACTTGTTCATTTGTTTTGACCGCCCGAAAAGTTAAATTTGTGGAATCATTAATCAAATCTTCAATGAGTTGTTTCTTACCATAATTATACAAAATTAAATCAAATCACTTAATTCTAGTTCAAACATTAATATAAGTCTTTATAGTTAGTAAACTAGGTTTGAATACAAAATAGTTAGTTATAAGAATGGAAATATCCATTATCCAAGTAGCCACTAATTCCATTTTTTTCGTTTTAATAAATGAAATTTCAATTTAAATACCTAATATAAAAAAAATTATTTTGTTGACATATCAAAATGACAATAAATAAAAATCATCTAGATCCTATCTAGTTAAGTAAAAAGTAATAATATTAGCCAACAAACTATACACAGTAATTAAAGATCAGATATTTATCAATAGAATAATATGGACAACTTGCTGGATAGTGAAATGATATAATTTAATCTTTAATTCAGGTAAATCAATCACCCAGGGAAATTTTATTTAAAAATAAATAATTTAACAAATTGAAAAGGGAAATTGATTTCTTAAATAATATTTTAAGAATTTCATATTTTATTTTATTGTTTATATCTATGAATAAGAAAAATTGCAATACCTTAATTATAATATAAAAATATTAAGTTCAAAAAAATACAAAATTTGTTTGTTTGTCTTTTAAAAATATTTTATTTGTAATATGTATTTAAATATTTGTGGGATTATTGAATAATTTAGTTTTATAAAATAATATGTTTTTGTACATCAACTGTCAAAAGTAGCTGAAGTTAATTGTTATTAACGAGATGAATACCTTTATCTAACCTGAAGACAAATATTTCCAAAAAATAAACAACTGACGTTTTAATACTTGGCTTATAGAAAATAAAACCAAAATTTGTTGGTAGCATATATTTTATCAAAAACAGTAATTGACTAATGTAAATGTATGTTAATAAGTAGAAATTATCAATGTTTTTCTATATTTTTATTTTTTTAAGAAGTTTAATACCTGTCTTATACCTTTTGATCTGTTTTGTCATCTTTATTTAGCTAAGCATGTAAATAAATAATAAATAAAATATTTCTACATTTTAGCCATTGTTAAATTTAAAAGTATTTGCAGTGCTTGGATTTTTTTATTTAGTTGTATTGGATCAGCACCATTTAATACATTAACTTAAACACCATTACAAAACAGTATTAATATTTATACAGCAGATACCTACATTATATTTTAATGATATTTAAGCCAAATCGTCAGTTTAACACTTTTCTTCATACAAATAATAACATTTATCATATATGTTATCCGAAATTTGTCTCCTAAAACTAAATCCGCAAGAATATTGTTCATGAGCTAGCATGGCTCTAAAAAATTGGTATAAAAATGGACAACAGAAGACCCATTTGAACTGAAAACCACAAAATACTATATTAATTTTATAGACTTCAAAAAGAAATTCATAAATTTTTAACGGATAAAGAAACCTACATAATATTACATAGTATATTGTGATCTTTTTTTAAATTATTATTTTCTCCCTTGTTTACCTACATTGGTCTATACCAATAATTTTCAAATGCAAAACAAAAAAATCAATTTAATTCTGAATCATTTATAATATATTATATTAATCGAACATTTGAGTGTTGCATTTTAAGAACATTATTTGTTCAAAATACTGATCCGTCATATTTGTTCTTTATTTGGTATTGTTGCATTACCAACACTTAATACTCTCTCTACTGGTGCACTGCTAGGTAGTGGAGTGTTGTACTTCACAAATACCTGAAAACTAAGTACAAATGTTTTTGTAATATTACTACTAATAGTATAAGAAGTTTTCAACTAATCTTACTTTTTTTTGATATTGGGTAAATTATGCAAACATTCTAAAGTCTTTGTTGGAGATGTGCCCAAAAATCTATCTATTTCATCACTAACTGTTGATTTTTGCTCTCAGGAATTTAGTGACCTGGTAAAAAAGGTAGATAATATATCTTTCATTTGGTTATCTTCTACATCATTATTGTCATTATTACTGGTATATAAGTCATAACAGGCACTTTTTAAATATTCTGAGGCCAATTATTTTTTATATCATTTTTAATCCATACTTTTTTAAATAGTGGGTGGCAGACTGCAGCAGTAATTAAAAATTTGTCTATCAAATAATCGGCAAACCTTGTTTTCATCCCTAAAAAACAAAAATTATTATCATTTAAGTTTGTTTATTTTAGCTCATGAGTATATAAATGTACTACACAGAAATATAAATATAAATAATAGATCAGCAGATTAAAATTTTACATTATACATCAGTAAGACTGTAAGAACAAAGAAATACTATATATTTACTACTTAGTAAATAGTATTTACCAATAGAGTAAACCAAAAACAACTAAAACGAAAAGAAATTAAATGTGTACAATTTAAGTACTTGGCTAAATAAGATTAATGTATTTAAAAAATATTAATTATTACATACCATTAAGTATGACAGTCACCAGAAGTTTCATATAATTAGAACTGTTAGATCACTTGTCATTGATTCAAATTTATAAATTAATCCTTCAATTGTAGGTAGGAGATGACCAAAGTATATGTTAGTATCACACCCTGGAGTAAATCCAAGCTTATTGAAATTGGCCCCATAATTGTATGGTGTTGACACATGAAATCAATATCACTTCTATCAAATCTGAAAATATTCATACAAATTAAAGATAAAATAATTAATATTTTTTTAGGATTTACAATTAACCTGCTAATAGCCAATTCGTCCATTATTATTCTAAACTTGGGTTCATTATTTTTAATTTATTTATTAAGCAACACCACTACATCAAACAGTGAATTCCAACGTGTCTCGTTGGGTGTAATTAAATAAACACCAAGATTTTGTTTAACTAAATCAGGTGACTAAGTTAAGCGACATTCTTTGTTCCACAAAGCGGTAGACTTGGCAAAAGTGCTTCTTGACTGTTTTTTGTATGCAAGATTAGACAAATAAATTATTTTATTTTGTATTTAATTTGTACAAATTTGTAATTGATAATCATCGCTCTATGCAAATCAAAGAGTTATAGGGCATGTGTGTATGGTGGATTGGATGCATGACCCGTCGCATGCTAGATGTAAGTGAAAAGCGGGAAATTCAAAAAGAAATTAAGTTGTATAGCTGCCTCAATTTTTGAGTGTCTAGGAAGTCAGTCACCCGGCTCGATTTTGAGCGTAGTCTGGCAGGTAGGCCTTCCGACTTTGTCGTATAGCGGACAACGTGCAAAGGTCGGGTAACACGATGAGGCAAGCAATCTGAAAACTGTAACTGAGTGTCTAGCGAGTTTAAATGCATGTTTGACATTTGATACAAATACATTACAAAATCCGCATCAAGAGAAAAGCACGACGAGGTTGTCGAAATTTGCCCTATGTCTTAGTAGCAGTACAATAATGATTCTGTTGCTGTTACGCCTGCATTGATAAAGTCATTTCAAGTATAATGTTTCTGAAATAATACAAATGCATATAAATATCTGCTGATATATTTTTAGAGTACATAAATAATTCTATGTTATTTACCACATAGTGTGCGAGTCGCAGCCAGTTTAAATGCATGTTTGACATTTGAAACAAATACATTACAAAATCCGCATCAAGAGAGAAGCACGTAGAAGTTGTCGATTTTCCCCTATGTCTTAGTAGCAGTACAACAATGATTCTGTTTCTGTTACACCTGCATTGATAAAGTCATTTCTAGTATGTTTCTGAAATAATACAAATGAATACCAATATCTGCTAATATATTTTTGAGTACATAAATAATTCTAAACAGATTCACCCAGATTGGATTCAATGTTTATTAAGTTCTTGTAGATGAGTTCTTTTAGACTTCATTGTGCAGTTATATCGCTTGTAGAACTTCTCTGTACACAATGTTCTTAGTGACGATTCTACCATGGTCATCACTGTATATACCAACTCTAATGGATTGAGAGTCCCTCACTCGGGAAAACGCTACATACAGTTGTCCGTACGTGAACACCGGTGATGGCAGGAGCAATCCAACTCTACCAAACGTTTTGTTCTATCAAAGGTTTTTTAATGAGTGAGTAGTAATTATAATGTAAACTATAAATTTTTAAACAAAAATGTTGCACTACTGTCTACACAAATACCTAGATAAAATAACTAATAACTTTTTAAGATTTACAATTTACCTGCCAAAAGCCAATTTGTCCATTATTATTCTTAACTTAAGTTCATTATTTTAAATTTATTTATTAAGCAGCACCACTGCATCATACAGTGAATTCCAACGTGTTTTGTGATTTTGTTTAAATAAATCAGCTGACTTAGTTGAGCGACCTTGTTTGATTCACAAAGCGGTAGACTTGGCAAAAGTTCTTCTCAACTGATTTTTGTATGCAAGATTAGACAGAGCTTTTTTAGATTCCTAGAAAAAACAAGTTAGACAAATAAATTATTTAATTTTGTATTTAATTTATACAAATTTGTAATTAATAATAAAAAATTAAGCAAACATAATTTATTGATATTTAAAATTGAAATTTGGGTATAGATAATAGAAAATAGTTAATGCTAATCATATTCATACTTATATCTTAGAATATTTTTTTTCATATATAATTATCATTTAAATTGAAAGAAAAATTTAATTTTTAAATGTATTACAACTCATACAAATTTGATTATGAGTATTAAGTATTAAA